CTGTTTCAGCATTATAACCAGTCTTTATTATTCTAGCATGAATCTGCTTCCCCTGTTTAATATCGGTGGTATTAGCAGCTGCACTAACAGCAGATCCGTATGTGAACATGTTAGCTTCCACTCCATGTCCATTCAATCTAGAAAACACTTTCAGTGCTTCTTCGCAAAATCCACTTTGGGCAAATCCTGATACCAAGCCATTCCACGAAATAATATCTCTGGTATCAATTTTGTCAAATGATGCATACGCATCTTGTATTCTGCCGCATCTAGCATAGAGAAAAATCAATGCATTGCCTATTGAATGATCTAATGAGTAGCCTGACACCACTGACTGGGCATGGATTTGTCGCCCTTGATTGAATGCTTGAATGCCGGCACATGCACTAGTTGCACTTGCAAATCCTATGTTATCTGATCGAATTTCATGGTGTTGCATTTTTCTAAAAAGTTTTAGAGCTTCAACAAACAAGTCATGCTGAGCATATCCAGCGATCATGGATGTCCAAGATACAACATCTTCCTCATTTAGACGCCAAAAGATTTTCTCTGCTGCATCCAATTTTTCATGTTTGGCATACATATCTATAAGCACACTACACACATAAACATTCTGCCAAAAGCCAGTTTTTAATACTTGGCTATGTATTTGCTCTCCAAGATACAGAGCACCAACAGATGTACAAGTTCTCAATATACTGGGGTATGTGTATTGATTAGGTTGTAGCCCTTTACCCTGCATCTGCGAAAAGATTTGGAATGATTCATCCAAATCACCCGTCTGTCCATAACCCACGAGCATCACATTCCACAAAACAATGTTTTCCATCTGGCTTCCAAGGAAAAATTTATGGGCTGTTTCAATGTCAGAGCACTTAACATAAAGGTCAAGTAAAGAACCTTCAATTATGCTATCTGAGCATAGACCTGCCTTTGCTGCATAAGAATGCAATTGTCTTCCCTTCTGAAGAGCTCCTAACGATGCACAAGCACCCAAGACACTTGCAATTGTAACACAATCGGGTTTTAACGAACCTAACTGCATTTTCTCGAATAACTGTAGAGCCTTATCACTGAATCCTTTCAAAGAGAGACCAGAGATTAGGGAATTATAGGTAACTCCATCCTTCTGCGGCATTTCAATAAATACTTGTTCTGCTAATGTTAAGTATCCACACCGAGAATACAATGTCACAAGAGCATTACCAACAAAAACATTAGTTAAATATCCCCATTTATAGATACTAGCATGGAGCTGTTCTCCCAACTCAAAAGCTTTTATCTTTGTGGATGCACTTATAACACTTGAGAAAACATACGGAGTAGGAATAACTCCAAATTTACGCATATCCTTATATAGGAGAATACCATCTTCTCCTCGTTCGTTTTTACAAAAACCAGATAACATGGCAACCCAAGAAGAACTATCTCTTACCACCATATCCTCAAAGACTTGCTTAGCAGAATCTACAAATCCATTCTTAGAATACAAATCAATCAAACGGTTACAAACAATGAGCTTCAATCCAAGACCATAGCGCATAATCAAAGCATGAATCTGTTCAACACCCCGAAAACGAAAAGCAACCTTGTTATAACTGCAGGCTTGCAGAACTTGGGAAAATGTGCACTCATCTGGATTAACATCTTCTCTTAACATTCGAGAGAACAGATTTAGAACTGCATCATTTCTTTTCGTCCGTGTAAAACCAGACAATAATATGTTCCAGCAAGACACGTTTTTAATCCGACTTGGCAAATTATCAAATATTTGCAATGCACCAGATAAATCTCCACCAGCAACATAAATATCAAGAAACCTAGCAGCAATCCAATAATCGGAGCCAAATCCCAATTTCAACAACTTCCCAAGTAGTTTCTTGGCATCCACAATTGACTCTTCACTCAAGCAACTATCTAGTAGGCTTAGATAATAAGTATGATCAAAATAGCCATTGTCTTTCGCTATATGAGGATGAATAATAGACGGATAATATACATTTTCTTCATCTGAAAAATCATCAAGAACCAGCGAATTTATACTTGCACAGCTAGTAAAAGTACAATTGTTCAATATAAATGGTTTCCAATATTGAAAATGCCAAATTTCCTGCAAATTGGAAGGAAAAAATGAACAATGTTTGAAAAGAAAAAGGAGGAAAAAGAAGACTGAAACAGAAAAAAGTAGCAAGAGAAAGAAAAAAATATAGAAAAGTTTTACCTGGCGAAGATAATCAGAAGACTTGTAAAGGTGATGAATAGTTCTCTTTGAAAACATGAAGATTTAATAGAGTGAATTGAATTCAAACTTGGCAATCTCCGTTCTCAACACTCAGCCGGTTCAGGGTCCGTAGATTTTCATCGTATACTTTACTCTATTTCTGGGTTTCCATTAAACCATCTTTTGTGAACCTAATTGAGCTCCTTTGCTTTCTCCTTGTGTCCGAGTAATTGAAAAATCTTTACTTGAAATACAAGGGTGTTTTTGCAAATCCCTTTATTTTCATTGTTTGATAAACTCTAAAATTGTTTAATAAGTTAAGTGTGTTATGAAATAAAAATAATTTAGTAAAACATGAACAAAAATAAGTTATGAAATAAAAGCAACTTAGTAAAACATGAAGAAGAAATAGAGATAGAGAGAAGGAAGAGTATTTATTCTTCAATTGTATATATTTTCTTATCTATTACAAGGCCTTTATATAGGCATGAAAAGTGAAAAAAAATATGTCATTAAGCATAGAAATATGTCATTGAATATGTCATTAAGCATTTGAGAAGATCATGGAGGAAGAGTAGACATCCACCATAATTTGATTTTTCTTATAACACTCCCCCTTGGATGTCTATAGATAATGTACCTCGTTAAAACCTTATTAGGAAAAAACCCTATGAGAAAAAAATCTTAGTGAAGGAAAAAGAGTACACATGTTTAGAAATCCGCCTTTTGGTTGCCTCGTTAAAAACCTTGCAAGGAAAATCCAGTGGGACAAAACCTTGTAAGGGAAAAAAAGTACAACGCGTATTAACTCCCCCTTATGAGATCATCAATTCACATCCTTGAGCCTTCGCATCCCAATCTTGTACACTAGTTTCTTGAAGGTTGACGTCGGTAGAGATTTGGTGAACAGATTAGCCATATTATCACTTGAACGGATCTGTTGCACATTGATATCACCATTCTTTTGAAGATCATGTGTGAAAAATAACTTTGGTGAAATTTGCTTTGTCCTATCCCCTTTATAAATGCTCCCTTCAATTGGGCTATACATGTTGCATTGTCTTCATACAAAATTGTAGGTAGTTTGTCACACTTCAAACTATATTTGTCTCGAATAAGGTGTATTATAGACCTCAACCATACACATTCTCGACTTGCTTCGTGAATAGCAATTATCTCAGCATGATTAGATGAAGTGGCCACGATTGATTGCTTAGTCGATCGCGCAAGATATGGCAGTGCCTCCATATGTAAACACATAGCCTATTTGAGATCGAGCCTTATGTGGGTCAGATAAATACCCAGTATCGGCATAACCAACAAGATCGGGACTGCAATCATTGCCATAAAATAATCCCATATCGGTAGTCCCTTTTAGATACCGCAATATGTGTTTGATTCCATTCCAATGTCTCCTTGTAGGAGCAGAGCTATATCTTGTTAAGACATTAACTGAAAAAGTTATGTCAAATCTTGTAATGTTAGAAAGATATATTAGTGCACCAATTACATTAAGATATGGTACTTCGGGACCGAGAAGCTCTTCATTATTTTCATGAGGTCGGAATGGATGTGCTTTATCTATATAGAATCCTTTAAAATCTTTTTAGTGTATGCTGATTGATGAACAAAAATTCCATCTTTCATATACTCAATTTGTAGACCAAGACAAAATTTTGTCTTTCCAAGATCTTTCATTTCAGATTCTTTCTTTAAATAGTCTACTGCTTTAGGAAGCTCCCTAGGAGTTCCAATGATATTTAAATCATCAACATACACGGTGATTATAANNGATATTTACAAATCTTCTTGTGACACAAGTCGTCTTTATGTCTATCGACTTGATCTTTTTTTCGCACAAAAACACATTTATACCTCCACTGGCTTTATACTTTCAGGTGTTGGGACTATCCGTCCAACTTCATATTTTTCAGGTGAAATCAATTTTCATTGCGTATTTTTTATTTGGCCAAACTGTCTAATTTCATGATGGATTTGAGCTCAAGATCCTCGTCAATATTAATAATATTGAGCACTACATTATATTAACAATATCGTCGACTATCATTTTATATCGATTCTACTATTACCCAATAAAGACATAACTTTTGAGATCTCTTTATCTTATTATTTTCAGGTACCTGAGCCTCTCCTATGAGGTCTTATGAAGTGTTATGTCGTGGTGCTCTTTTAGAGCACTTGCCTCCTTATTATGATCATCTTGAACATTTGCTTCTCTCATTCTTCAAGGAGTTTTATCTTTAGAACCGATTAGTATATTATGCTTCATGCATGCCATAGACTCTATTCATTATGAACTTTATTTTATTTGGAGCATTAGCAGTTGAATATGACATTTAGCTTTGGGTCAGCAAATACGCCTGGCAATATTTTGCAAATGAATTATCACTTGAACTTCAAGTTCACATTTTCTCGTACGAGGATCTAGATGTACTCATAATAATTCATTACATGCATTACTTTTTCAGCTGCCCATTTTCTCCCCCTATTGTTGGGATCACCAACACATATCCCTAGCCTTATTTGGGGATCCATCTTTGTGCATTGTGGTGGAACAATTAAATCATATAGCACATTCATATTTCTAGATGGAAATTATTTGGTTCCTGACCCTGAACCGATTGTGATAGGGAGAACTTATCATAACTTGGCTAGATGCGTACAAGTGCTGTTGTATATTAAATAATACATCACATACCAAATTTTATTTTGGCAGTTTTGTTCTCATAACCAATGGTTTAGATATAATTGGAGGCATACAATTTCTGCTAAACCAACTTGGATTTAAACCAGTATTATCAAGATAAATCATCATAATTTATATTCTGGAACTGTGCTCTAATAATTTGAGCAATCAATCTTGCAATAGCCAAACTGTAAGTTGATAACAAATGCACATGTTACCATGAAATAGATGCATCTATTAAAATCATATAATAGTAAACGGTCCACATGGAAGGTGACTGAGCCCATATATTTATCACCTTTTATTCATTTCAGAAATCAAGTAATTCAATCCCAACCTTAACTGGCATATCATGAGAATAAGCAGCACAATTGTTGAAGAATCTTATATTTCTTCAATATATACCAGTGTAATTTTCAATTAAACTTTCGCATCATAATTGAACCAAGATGGTCAACCGGTCATGCCAACTAATATTTATTTCAGTAAACCTCTAGTTTACTTGTGGCTTGTGATTGCATCATCATTCTTATACTTGTGTAGTACAAATAGAAGAAAAGTCAGGTAATCTTTTATATTTACCCGATATGATTAGAGTAATATAAAGATATTCAATCTTCTTTTAATTTATAGTCTCAATATGCCAACCACTTTGGCTAATATATTTGTAAATCAAAATGTTTCTTTTGAGACTTACTACAATATTAATGTCATGAACAATTTAATTCATCCTGGTAGTAATAAATTAGTTCTTTCAGAGCTCTTAACTGCTTTTGTACTACAAGATCTTTTGCCACACCATCCATATAATGAATGCCTCCTTCACAAAGAGAATCATATCATAATAATTGTCATGTTCAAAATCATCATAAGCAAAATAATTTCTTGATTTAATTTTGCTTTTAATAACTTTCATAAGGCATGATAAAATATTTTTTGGCGTATCACCTGTATGCGACCAATGATATATTCATGTAACTACACAGTAATATTCATTATCTTTCTTTGTCTCAAACCTCCCCTAGAAGTGAGTTGTGGTATGTATCCAATCATGCATTGCATGTCTTTATTCATTACTTTTATCACATACTGCTACATTCACCTTCAGGAATGAGTCTGCATTCTCAATGCTTATCACAAGTCACATTCTCTTAAAAAAAAATGGAGTATAATTATTGTGACATGCTTTATAAATTTTTCATACCATTTTGATGGTAAATATTTCCTTCACCTTTTTGAAGGAATACATCGAGAACTCTTATGAAAAATTATTTTGTCGTCTTTCAAACTTATCATATATTGTTGCCACATTCGCTTCACTAAATGGAGCATATCAAGTAGGGCGGGCTTCATGATTCTTTCATCGATACTGCGCATTGTGACTCAAATCCAATGCCTTACCCATATAAAGGCATGTTAGGCAAAATGTGTTGGGACTCAAACCCAACTCCTATCATTATAGTGCACTAGAACTTAAATATGTCTTAACTAGTTGCATAATAGGCCAAAGTACAAGATTAAATTATTAATCTTGTGGTCAGAAACATAAACAAAATTAGTTATAACAAGATTTAAAAATATAACCACTTTTTAAGGTTGTAGGACGAAAATGTTTCATTCCTTCTAAGTGTTATCACTTTTAGATTTACGTGAATTCAAATAGAAGTGCATTCAAATAAATACTAGATAATCTGTTAGAACACTTACCAATTTTGTAAACGATAAACCAAATCAATAAAGTAAGAATAAAGACTAGGACTTGGAAGCATATATATAATTCCTGTAGTACTTCCAGTATCTACATATGCGATCCAATTCACATCACAATATATGGATTATAGATGATAGTCAAAGGCTAAGATTGACTGTAAATCAGAATATCTATTATGCTTACAACTATCCTGCCAGAATATTATGTTTATTTATGCATGCATTTAACCAACTATGCAGGAATAGTACCGGTTTAGTTATATTCATTAAATATTACCATAGTAACATTCCTCTTAGCGTAAAAAGGGTAAAGAGCACATTGGTTGTCTGATATCTGCGCACATATATGTAAGCACTATTCAGCACGTTAAATATAAGTTAAAGAATTGAGTAGAGAGTACCTGTTTCAAAATTTAATTACAAAATATATATTCATGCATTTTGATTTGGTTCATGAATAAATCCCCTGAAGTATAGCCAAACGCTAACTAAAAATTCATATTAGACGTCAAGAAAGAATAAGCAAAAACTATACAGGCCAATGTAGGGCTCACACACTTTCAAGCTATAACAAAATGAAAATAAAATACTGAAAGCTTATTGTGAGTTATCATGGAAAAATAGAAAATTTTTGAGATTAGTGGAAGATAAAAATAAAAATATGAATAAGCTAGAAAGATGAAAACTTATCTTGTATTAGTATACAACCCATTGGTTTCTATCTTTATTTTGTTTGATAGCCACAAAATTGTTGGTATAAGGATAACAAACACAAAGCATAGTCTATGCCTATATGGAGGTGTACGGA